GCATTGGCTCGTTTAGTTTACACTCGAAGTAGATTGGTCTCTCTAAGCGAGATCCCAATTTCGTCGGTCATCCAACGTGACGTCGAGAGTGACCGACTGAAAGGGAACAGCACACTTTGCTCTGCAGCTAAAAGCCATGCTGAATGAAAATTTCACCCTGCTTTTAAAATAAAGCGGCGTCATCTGTGCATCTGACAGGTGGGCTGATGTAATTCTTTGCCATGTTTCTGTCTCACGGTTCCTGTTAAATTGCTCTTTTGCTTTGCGCCAGCTAACAGTGCTGCATACAAGCCCCCCCCACTCGCTGCCCAGTGTTAATGTGTTTGCATATGGAATTTACATTTTAATTGAATTGAATATGCATGACATAATTACTATGGGACGGTTTATTAATTTAGCTTATTTATTTACATCCTGTCCTGAACGATGGAATTTACATTTTAATTGAATTGAATATGCATGGCATAATTACTATGGGACGGTTTATTAATTTAGCTTATTTATTTACATCCTCTGTGTCCTGAACGTGATATTTCAAAGGTGGAAAAAGGTCAACATTGTCTCTTTTCAAATTATTATTATTATTTTTTTTTTAAGTAATTGTATATATATATATAAATATATATATGTAATTTGTATTAATTAATTAAAAAAATATATTTTAGTTCCTGTACCTCAACTGCATTTAGCAAATGCTTGCAAATGTGTACATGTTTCTTTTTTCATACACTTTTGTTAACAGGAAGAAGAACTGCGAAAGAGTGGAGAGACAAAGTATCATCACCTTAACGAAGATCTTCACGTGCTGATCGAGGTGTTCGCGCCGCCCGCTGAAGCGTATGCGAGAATGGGTCACGCTCTAGAGGAGATCAAAAAATTTCTTATTCCTGTACGTCTGTTTGTACATGTTTGTACAATCTTCTAAACACAAACTGAGCATCAACATCATCATCTTTCATGTTCTGATTGCAGCGTTTATTACCTTCAGACCAAAAATACACATCCACTGGTTTAAAAATCAAATTTTGGTAACACTTTATTTTGGAGGTTAAGTCTCACTATTAACTTCACTTGTAAATTTCATGAACAATTACAATATTACCTTCAACCACAAAACTTAAGTCGCTTGGGTATATTTGTAGCAATAGCCAAAAATACATTGTATGGGTCAAAATTATCGATTTTTCTTTTATGCCAAAAATCATTAGGATATTAAGTAAAGATCATGTTCCATGAAGATATTTTGTAAATTTCCTACTGTAAATATTAAAACTTAATTTTTGATTAGTAATATGCATTGGTAAGAACTTCATTTGGACAACTTTAAAGGCGATTTTCTCAATATTTAGATTTTTTTGCACCCTCAGATTCCAGATTTTCAAATAGTTGTATCTCAGCCAAATATTGTCCTATCCTAACAAATGGAAAAGGAATGAATCCACAATGGAAAGCTTATTTATTCAGCTTTCATATGATGTATAAATCTCAATTTCGAAAAATTTACCCTTATGACTGGTTTTGTGGTCCAGGGTCACATTTGTGCACGGTATTGACTTTATGTATATAAAATCTCACAGTCACATCTGTTATGCTAATGAAAAGCTAGATTAAATGTTACTATTTATATACAGAATGGCTCCTCTCGGGGAAAAACACATGTTGGTGCGTGTTTGGGGTTGCAGGGGGCATATATTTCCCCTTGAAAAACAAGTGGACCATTATTGCGCGTTACAGCTCATTAACAGTGTGTTTGTGTGTGTCGTACAGGACTATAACGATGAGATCAGACAGGCGCAGCTACAGGAGCTGACGTATCTGAACGGCGGCTCGGAGGACGCCAAAGTCCCAGCGGCCAGAGGCAAGAGCAGCACGCGAAGCAGAGGAACGCCAGCGCCGGGACCGCACAGGTACGACAGCGGATCATTGTACTGTAATCACATCTAGAGCGAGAAACGGCTGGATAACATGTAAACATGACTAATGAACTCCTTAATTTGCTTCTCCTTTTCTGCCCGTTGATTTTTTTTCTGCTGTTTAATGAGAAAAGGATTTGAAACTCCACTGAGAGTTTCACGCGGTATAGCTGGCAGATTTATTCACATATGGACTGGCGCTAATGTCATTTCCTCAAACCAGTCTAATTTTCATCATAGTTGGAGAGGAAAATTCAATCAAACCGTCAAAGTTATCTTCCATTGGAGGATAGAATATAATCAACGGCGTATTGTTATTTAGTAAATGATAGCCAGAAACTAGACTAGATCTGTCTGTTTGTCAGTTGAAAGATGCTTATTAAATGGCAAAGCTTTATTATCAATGTTGAAAACAGTTGTGCTGCTTAATATTATCATTTGTTTGTGATATGTCATTTTCAGTGTTATTTTTTTTCAGGATTTTACATTGAAACAATGTAAAATACCATCAAATTTGTTCAGTTTAATGCATAAATAAATAAATCTGACCCAAAACTTTTGAACAGTAGTATACACTATAGTACAATTTTGGACACATTTTTGTTTTACTATACTGTTCCATACCTTAGATTACTATTAAAGTTATTAAATAAAGTTAATATTAAAGTCATTCAAATAATTTAGTAATTAAAGTAAAAAAAACTGTGGATTTATTGCAATTACATAAGGAACAACAAATAGATAAATATATTAAAACTTATTTTTAGCTCTGTCTTCTTACTTTTGTGAAGAAACTCAAATGTACACTGAAAAAAAAAATCACTTAAACAAATTTCACTTAAAAATTGCACACAAACAATACAAAGAAACAGCAAGTAATGCATTGAATTGCATTGAAATTGTGAAGTAGAAAAACTGAAATAGTAATCCTCTATTTACAACTTGGAAAAAAATAATTTTTTATAGTGTAGGCACAATTTATATTTGTCTACAAAAGTAATGTAAACCATCTAAGTATATTTTGGTAAAAAGGTGTAACATCACTAATTTAGTTCCTTTATGTCCAAACATTTCTCTTGCAGTGTATATGTATTTATTCACACCATTTTTACACTATTGTGTTTTCATTTTTTTAAATGAAGAATTCTTGCTCCACTTATAATGTTTAGTTAATTATATTTATGTAATTCACTTGAGCGGATGTCTCCTGCAGGTGTAGAGGGGGCGTTCCTCCTCCTCAGGCGGCAGTCCCGCGGGGGGTGGCTCCCAGAGGAGCTCCGCCCAGCAGGGTTCCGTCCAGCAGAGTAAGGGCCGTTCCCTCACAGAGAGCACGAGGAGCTCCGCCCCCACCCGGGTACAGACCTCCCCCTCCGGTGGTGCAGGATACCTACGGTGAATATGTAAGTAATTGTCACTTGCTTTGCTGTAGACGTCACTCTGTTTAAGGACTATATCAAAGTATATTTATAGCATTCAAGAACAGAATTCATGAAGATCAAGTTATAGTATTCAGCAAATGGTGGCAGGATGATATCCTGTTTCTACTGGATTTTTGAATTATGCATTCAAGTATGTTTTTAAAGCTAATATTGTTCACAACAGCTTTTGCTATGCTAGTTGGTTTTGCATAAGTTAATTAATTGTACTGTACCATCACCAGTGCAGATCTACGCACTTAGAGATTCAACCATAGTCTTTGCTAGTGTTATTTTAGTATTATTTATATACCATTATAGTATTTAATAATATACTTAATTAGCCTTTATTCATAGTAATACGCTTTCATTAATAGTAATTTTGATATGTGGCTTTCATATACATTCATTCATTTATTTATTTATTTTAATTTTAGTTATTTAAAATTTATATTTGGCTTATTTTTTATTTCAGTTCAGTTTTAATAAATTTAGTAATTTAGTGATAATACTTAAAAATGTAAAATGATGCCTTGGCAATTAACTGAAATAAAATAAGTTTGTTTTTCATCCTAATGTTCTTCATCATATTTTTTTTCATTGTAAATTCATTAAGGGCCAGTTTTACTAAACAGGGCAAATTAGCGCGAGAGCGCAATTCCAAAGCAGCACTGATGGGAGGGGAAATTTATGTGGGTGATTTACTAACAATGCGTAAATTAAAGAACACAGACGCAACATCTCATTTACATATCGACCAACGCAATATACCAAGCGCAGCACAAATTAGCGTAGTCACAAATAAAGAATAAGGAAATAAAAAGCCACAGTACGTTGAAAAGAACCGGAGGCCAAAAAATTAAGGTTTGCTAGAAGTTTTGATAGACCTGGTATTGAGAGACTCGTTATTTTCTGAAGCAAATTAAAAATAACATGGCTTGGCAAACGATATGTTCGGATAATGTGTTCTTCTGGCATTCCGAATAAATTAATAGGCTACATGTGGAAAAAACCACACACTCTCTGTTCTCTGCGGTGCCTCCTCCGAGCAACAATAATTGCAGCAATTTCAAGCGCAAAATAGTTTAAAGCCTCGTGCACACTGGGATGATTATCGCTCGCGCTTATTGCCAGCGTTCTTCAAGACATTTTTCGATGCGTCTTTGTGTTCATACCCAAGCGATTTTCGCAGGTGATGAGCCGAGTGAACGTGCAAATTCACTCCCTGACATTAGATGGCGCTTAATGAAAGCG